TACTTCACATATCATGTGTCCTTAAGCAAGTGACACCATCCTACACCTTAGATTCCTTATCAGTCAATTGAGAAATGTAATAGAAGTTACCTTCTGGGATTGCTGGGAAGACAAGTTAATGCCTGGAGGGGACTCATCGCCATGTCTGGGACATGGAAAAGGCTCAGTGAATGGTGACCAGTTGGATTTTTTTCTTGTCTGATAAATGGACAGAAATACCTGTTTTTCTGTTCTCTGGGGTTTTATGAATATCACATAAGATAATTAGTTATACTGCTCTAAGGTGTAGAGATTTTGAGCTATTATCAAGATGTTGTTCCATCATCTGTTATTTGGGTACAAACCACCTGTTCATTGTTCACCACTCCTTAGGTGCTATTCTGGGTTCTAGTTCCTAAATTCTTGGTAGGGGCTCTACTATGGAAGATTCCTTTAAACAAGCAAGAAATTAGAAACATGGTCCTCAAAGCTTCACACAGTTTGTCTTGTTTGATCATTATCATCTCTATAGTCCTGTTATCCCAGACTACTTTTTTCTGAGGTACATTCACAATTCTGTAGTTGTGTAGATGTAACCGTGACTCTGTTGATGTGTTCATTATTAGTCAACATTGTCCATTTCTTTCTAACCTTTCCTCCACAGTCTCAGACTCAAAATCTGTGATTGAGAAGCACAGCATGGGCTAGGGGTGTGCATTCATGTGCTTCTTCCTTATGGAAAATATTTAAAATATAAAAAGTGACCATCCCCAAGTTGACTGCTGAAAAATGCCTTTCACAGTCAAGATGATGTCATACCCACTTATTTATCCAGTCACTGGTGCGAGTCACTGATGAGGCATCAGAGCAATCATTAGTGTGTTAAAGGGCATCTAGTCACATAAGCATATTTGTTTATCTGCTTGGAGAGTATAGATCATGTTATGTGTTCAGCCAACGTGGAACCCACCCATTTTGGGATGCTGAAAAGCCCAAATAGAGCAGAATGAAATGGCAAGTAATGCATGGCCTTTGAATTCTGGTAGAGAGCTGATTTTTTAAATTAAAATAATTTCATCCTTCATTTGAGAGAAAAAGAAAGGTTTCATTTTCTTTCTAAAGACAAGACTTCTTTAGTAAGCACGGGAGAGCTGTTTCTCTCAGGTTTGATGTGAATCCTTCGTCAAAACTGTAGGGTTTTCTTTTGAAATACATAGTAAGTAATGCAGGGGAATGTTTGCTCTATGATTTAATATGAATTTGAGGCAAAAGAAATAAGGGAACCTTGAATTGCATTTATTTTCTAATGATGAAAAGTTTGCCAAGAAAGGGATTTTCCCCTTCCGTTTCACAGATTCTGTAGGTGACATATGAAAAGTTGCTCTGAATGGAGTTATATGAAATGACTTTGCTGTTTATCACTACTCTCAGTCCTTTGAGCAGTTATGTGTGATTTTTAATATCAAGGTGATCTATTTTTCAGAAGACGAACCTACTGTTTGTCTCATTCAATCATGCTTTAAAATGTCTATGGCAAATATTTTTTTGCACATTGTAAGCTATATTGCACTAACATACTCCTTAGCGTTGATTAAAAATCATGCTATTTCAAATTGGAATTTTATTCATCATAGTATGATTACATTAACAATTTAGTTTTAGTTCGTGATTCTCATTTAATGAAGAATGACCATCATTTTCCAAGGTAAAGTACAAGACAGATGGGCTCCTACTGAGTCAAGGCATTGACGTCAATACCGAGAGTGCAAAGCGATGGTTTTCCTTTGTGCAGTGTGCAGAGTACATTACTCTCACTGAGACAAAGCTCAATCTTCTGTAGCTCTATTTGATTTTCAGTTTGATTGAGTGCTGGGGACTTAATGCTGTTCTTAGGCATTTGGACTTTCACCCATAAGTGCGTACGTCACAGGAGTGGGTGATTTTCCATAGGCAGGAGCCAGAGGATGGGCTGGATCATTGCTTTGTCCTCCTCTAACAGAACCTACACTAGAGAAGATTTGGGGCTAATGGTGCAGTTTAACTTAAAACTTCTGAGGTGAGCTCTCATCTTCAGTTATCATAGTTCATGACCTCCCAGCAGTATGAGGATTTATTTACTTATGTCTCTTTAAGTAAGTGCTTTCCATTTTTCTTAAAAATGTAATTTTTAAAAATAAAACACTGTGATTTGATGTGTAATAGTTTACTCCATGTATACTCTGAAAAATCATAGAGGTTGATTGATACTTTCTTTTATATGAATTTGTCTAAGGATTTTCTCTATATTGGAGGGTGAATAGTTAATGCATCCAGGAAAAATACATGAAGAACTTACAATAGAAATTGTACGTAGCTGTTTAAGAACTTACAGGTGTTACAGTTTATCAGTACATCTATTGGGAAGTATATTAGTTCTCCAGCTCCTGTCCAAAGAACTGGGCACTTAGGTTCAGTAATCTCCATTGGCATGACACAGAAATCAGACAGATAAACTGTTTTCCTCTTCAGAGTTTGGCTCTTTCGTTTATCTCAGTATGTATAATATGTAAGATCCACGTGTTTTAGTGCCATTTGTGACATTTATTTTTATCTTCCCTAAAGCTTATGTGAATCCAAAATTAGTGTTTCAACCAAAAACTCATGAGAGACCTAATTAAATTTGACTAAATGATCTAGATGTGCTTTGCACATGCAGAAAGATAGTTGATTTGTATTTGTTCAGAGATGGTTGAATGAGTTTTTATACCTGTGTCTCAGTGCTTAATGGACATGAATGTTTGGATATTATAATATGGAAAGACATTTCCTGGCTCTTAAATGAAGCCACATACTATGGATGTTTTATTCACAAAATAATATTTATGTAAGGATAATGTTTCTGTTTAACTTTTTTTTCTTTTTTTTTTTGAGACGGGGTCTTGCTCTGTCACTCAGGCTGGAGTACAGTGGTGCGATCTCACTCACTTCAGCTCCCACCTCCTGGGTTCAAGCAGTTCTCCCACCTCAGCCTCCCAAGTAGCTGGGATTACATGCACCCGCCAGCACACCCAGTTAATTATTGCATTTTTAGTAGAGACAGGATTTCACCATGTTGGCCAGGGTGGTCTCAAACTCCTGACCTCAGGTGATCCACCCGCCTCAGCCTCCCAAAGTGCTGGGATTACAGGCATGAGCCACCACGCCTGGCCTAGCATATTCTTTTTAAATTTGTTTTGCAAGAAGTGTGCTACTGCAATTTTAATCATGTTCAAATCAGAACTTGATTGCTAGCAAAGTATGTTATTAGAATTATTTCGTTTTCCTGTTGACATTTAAGCTCTATGCCCCACACAGACATGATCTGACAACTAATTTGATCATATTAACAAGAGATTGGTTTTTAAATCAAGTGGTATAAATATAAATACAGCCTTGGTTAGATGATCACCAGACTATCCAAATGCAACCTCAGCTTCAAAGATTGTAAAGTCTCCTTTTTTTCCCCCTTTCCTCCTTTCATTTATTTTTTTTTCCTCCAAATATTTCTTTATTACCTACCATGTGCCAGGCGCTGCAGTGGGCTATGAGGATGCAGTGGGGGATAGGACAGATGTCGTCCCTGCCCTGAGGATACGTGCAGTTTATTGGGAAAGATAGACATTATAAAAATATGCAATTATACAAATAAAAATTAGATAAATAATTCAGTACTTAAACTTGTGGGAGCTATACCAGTTTGTAATAATAACAACCCTCCCACCTTCTTGAGAGAGTCATTGGTCACCCCACCTCTCTTCACTAATGAGAGGACGTGATTGAACCTATCACTTCAGGTAGGAGTTTGCTGTGGGATAGATCTCAGTGTTCTATGAATGTGTTTGTGCTCATGCTCTCCAGTATGCAGTGAACACTTCCAATATGCAAGGTGTTATATTAGGTGATGGGAGAGGGCTACAAAGATGAGAGAGACAAAATCCTTGCCTGGAGGAGTAGAGAGCATGTATACCTTATGTGTACACTCACAGCCTATTTATTAATATTTGTCTATCTAGGTATGAGATGTTTAAAAACAAGGAATTTCAGGGATTCAGGAGTGATGGTGAAATAACTTCTAGTTCTGGTGATCACCTCGTGTTTCCTGGAGGTGACCTTTTTACTGAACTGTAATGGACTTCGATAAGAAAATATGGTGGATAAAGGCATTCCAGGCAAAAGCAATAGAATAAACAAAGACAAGCAGGCAGGAAAATTTGCGGCATATCAAAGGACTGACACAAGAAAGAAAAACAGAAATGAATCATCAAACCAAAAAAGTAATTTATATGGAAATAAAAGGAAGTCAGGTTTGTAGGAGAAATTAAGCCCAGATCACTGAGGTTTTCAAGTACTTGTTTAAAGATACATTGGACTTTATTTGAGAGCTCATATATGGCTCCTCCCATTATTTAACCAAAGAAGCCTAGTAGAAAAAATTAATTAGCACTGTGAAGGAGGGTGAGGACAGCGAGGAAGGCCCGAACTCAGAGCCCAGCCAGGTTCGCTGCTGTGATCTAGGTGGCAGACGGGGTAGACCTGAATGGTCAGTGTTCATCTCATAAGTCGGTGTTTTGGCCTTGAAGCAAATTTACAACAATTCCCTGAACTTTCCCAGAGATAATCTGTAGAATGGAGAAGCCATTAGGCCTCCCCTCTAAAGTCACGAGGTGATTGCTTTCTAACCAGCTTAAAAAGCCAAGTTTTCCTGATCTGTTGGGAAAGACATGATAGCCTCTGAATGCTCAAAATACAAATACCATTTAAAATGGGAGAGTCCTAAGGATGGCAGACAGATTTTGCTTCACGTCGCTAGTATCTCTTAACTAATTTTAGATGATTTATGAATAGATGATTATTACAGTCTTGAGAGTTAAATATTTAAAAGTTAACTTTCTTTTAGAGTTTATGTATAATACAGGGCTGGTTCTCTGTGCTGCACACTTCCACTCTTCATTTCCTTCTTTTTAATACATTATAATTATTATTCCTACTCTATCCTTTTTCAGTTTCCTGCATGAAAATTACTTAAACATTGCACACAACGTGTCACAAAGTCTTTTGTGAAAGAAGAAAAGGAAATTCAGTTTGTGGGTCTCAGCAGGAGTTAAGCTAATGCAGCTTAAAATAATGCCGAAAAAGAAGCGCTTATCTGCGGGCAGAGTGCCCCTGATTCTCTTCCTGTGCCAGATGATTAGTGCACTGGAAGTACCTCTTGATCGTAAGTATTAACATTTTAAAGCTGTTAGGCCCAGGAGTCAAAGCCTCCCAGCATTTACCATCACTCTGAACTGCGTGAATGGAGAAGGTGTCTGTGTGATACTGAAAAGCTAATCAAAATTAATTTGGCTTTTACCTTCAGCACCTGGTGTTTTTAAAGATTCACACTGTAGAAGTAGCCATTGAAATGGTCAGACTCACAATTCCCTCCCTCTGGGTCTCCTTCTTCCTACTCAGGTGCCTTTTGTCTGCCCTACTGGGGATGGCCTGAGAAGGATTGAGTTGTGCTAGCTGCCTGATCATCTCAACAGGTGGCTCTTTAGAGAAGCAGCCCCGCAAGAAAACCATATAAGCCACTTTAAAATGATCATGGAGACCTCCCCACTCATCCTCTCACCACGTCACCCTTGCCCATCCTATGCTGAGGATGTTTTGCAAAGATGAGGGGAGGCTCCTTCTGCCAACTCCATACCCCTCAGAATCCCTAAACAACCCCATAATTCATTTCTCTTGATTCAAACAAGGCACATCTCACTTTCCAATTCTGAATCTTAAATATGAGTTTAGAACTAGGAAAAGTATCTTATCTAGAGCCTTGTAAATAGTCTTGGTTTAAACACTGTGGCCAAATGCCAATACAACTGCTGAGAATACAAGTAATTTGCAAAAACACTAACATGGAGCAAACAACAGCTACTGTATTAGCCCACTACTTTCCTAGTAGTAAAATCTACACTGTGGTCTCCTGCTGTAGGTGGCCTGTCTGTGAAAATAAAGATAATGCTAGGTTTCACCTGGTCACTTTCACTGCAATGGAAAGCAGAATTTCAAATCTGGACTATTACTGTACTTTGGAATCAATTTCTCCTTTATCCCTCATCTGCATGAGCTCTTTGAAGCCATTAGCTTTCTGAATAGAACATCTGTTTGGCAAGCTTTCCAAGGTGCAAAAAAGCACTTTCCTGGGGGGGCTATTCAATTATTGGGATGTCATTTTTATTTATTTATTTATTTATTATTTTGGCCATAGAGGTTGCAAATGCCAGTGGGAAGACCTTAAGAAAAGATGTGCTTTTTCCCACACTTTGTTGACTTTTGGCTGTGCTTCTATAATACAATAAAATGCAATGTTTTTCTTAGTTTTTTTTTTATTGCATCCAATGACCTTAATTTCAGTTTTCAAAAACAGTATACAACTGCTCAAGCCCATTGGAGTGGAAATGCCTAAGGAAGCATTTTCCCTGCCAGATATACAAGAGAGAAAGAAAAGTACTTGAGAGAAATGATTTTGCACTCTCTTATATTAAATATATTCCCCCTTAATCTCACTGTTCAGTCTATCAATCAGAGGGAAACAGTCACCTACGGCTAACTCAGTTATCACTGCTAATGGAGAAGAGGCATAACCATGATGAAAAGAAAGTCACGGATAACCCAGGTGTTCCTATATTAACCTTTGCAAGTAGTAATGACAGGCAGCACTGTGGAATGATTTGAATTGCATGCTAATGTAATTTCTTCCCTGCCCCTATTTCTTACATTGTTTCTCTCCTCCATGAACACCTCCTTGATGTAGGTACCAGTAACTCCTGGGTGACTGAGAAATTCTGAAGCAGAAATCTGCTAAGTCTAAAAAGTTCAATTAATGACTTTGGAGATTAACCATAGAAATATAAAAACCTAAAATTAGTGTTGAACTTGGCTTGCATGGAGCATTGTCATTGTAGCAATGTCCCATTGTTAGGTATGATTACCATATGCATAGTGATGTCTGGGATAATATGACCAGACACTACACAGTATGTGACAACTCAAATTAATTGTAGATTTCAGCTATTTTTTAAATTGAACATAATTACTTGTCCAGCACAACATGTATAGAATGGAATTCACCATTCCTATTCCTGGAAGAACCCATTTTTGCCTGCAGTATTGCTTTTGTTCTTCCATATGTTTATGTGGGAAAGCCGCTGCAAGATTAAAGGAAATAGTTAATGCAAATTTCTCCCTCTTGCAGTTTCACAACTTCAGCCTTCACTATATAGGTTTTCTTAGATCAAATCAAATAGACAAGATGCCCATTTATCTTCAGGGTTCTAACGTTCTTATTATTAACATCTGATTTTCTTTAATCCTCTTTGCCCACTTACCTGCTGATATTGATGGGGAAAAAGCAAAACTTCTTGAAGACTGTAAGTGTCTTTCTATAAATTACTAGGCAGTGTGAAAATTTGACCGTGTCTTTGTTTTATGAATTAATACTTTGATTTAAATACACAATTTCATGTTTTGTGAGCTTTGTCTTTCTAAGCATGTGTATTTACTGTAGCTAAGCATTGTATTGAAATACCAAGAAGCATATATAATGTTACTATCTGCATGAATTCTGAAAACTCAGGTCTTACTCTTTCTTTTACCAGTATGCTTTCTTTACCAGTATGCTCTACTAACTTTCAAGCTTTATTCACATCTGATGTAACTCAATGAGAAAATTCTCAAAATTTAGAGAGAATGATGATCTGTTGTAAAGGCTAATAAATACTTTCTGGAACAAAGATAGGTCTTTTGGTGTGTTTTAGAAGATGGGTGCAGGCAAAAGCTTTACAGAGGACAGCAGCTATATGCCCTCCTACACTTCTCTAGCCTCCACAACTGTGTAGACTAATATTTCTAGGTGTCATCAGCAGACTGGCCCAGTGAATTTGAATATTACCTTGAAGTGGGCAAAAGATAAGCAGCTCCCACTCACATGGTTTTTGAGTAGCTTGCTCTAAGCAAAACTCTCCACTGCCTTTGACAGTTAGGTGGCATTTATCACCTTGTTTAAAAATAATCAATTTTCAGGCATTTGATAATTTCTTCTGATGTCTGATTAACTGGGAAAATTTTGTAAAACCACTTTTCTTTTCACTATTGCAAAGCATTTGTTAATTGCCAGGTGACCTATACACTGTTTAAGGAGGTACATCCAGACAGGAAACTCCTGGCAGGTAGGAGTGGCATCTAAGCCAGCTCAGCTACAGACCTGTGAATAGAAACTCTGCCTTTGAAGCCACCAAATTTGCACCTGTGTCACTCCCAGAAAAGCACAAAGAATTGAACCAAGTCGCTCCTAAGAATTCCCTCCCCCACTGCCTATGGCCACTATTCCTTGGATGTGGAATTCCAGGCTTCCTTCCATTATCCCAAACTCTATATTCCTAGAGCCTGAAGAATCATTTGAAGGTGAATGTGGTCTGAATAAAAATAATTATGATAATACTTTTAAGATAGCTGATGTTATTGAACCATTATAGCACTAGTATATACTAAGAATTCTATAGAAATTGTTTTCTTAATCCTGCCAGCTACCCTAGGTAGTAGATACTACTTTTAAACCTTATTTTCCGTCTCAGGAAACTAGGGCTTACAGAAGTTAAGAAATTTGCTCGAAGTCTCAAAGCTTTAAGAAACCAACAGACTAGTGCTTAACAATCAGACCACACTGCTGGTCAGCGTTGGAAATGGACAAGGCTGGAAAAATGAGGGTTCCATGTGCATGACAGAGTGGGGAAGGGCAGCTGTGAAGACAACGAGGGGGCTGGGAGATTACGAAAGGAAGGGAAGCTGACACTGCGCAGGACCCTGCAGGTACCAAGGCACAATAAATGATGACGGTAATGAGGCTAGCTTTTGATTTGTACTTTAGCTGCTATTTGGATATTTAGTAAGACATGTCTGGTGGATGGCAATAAGACTAGCCGACAAGACAAGAGGACAGCACTAGGTTTGTAGATTTATAAAACTTAGGATGTGGACGTGATATATTTAGCTGTAGCAGCAATTAATCACAAGAGAGACAAGAACAGTGGACAGTTAACTGAGCTTTGAGAAATGTTTGGTTGGCAGGTGGAAAAGGTTTCACAAAGGAAGGAGATTATGGACAGAGAGGAAAGGGAAGATCCAGAAGATGAAAAACTTAAATGAAGCAGAATGTCAAATGCACCAGGAAAGGAAAGTACAGTGAGAATCCAAGACAGGGCCTTGGGGGAAGTTCCAGGATGCAGAGGAAAGCAGGCTGAAGTATGGCCGCTGCATTGCACAGCTCCAGGGGGGCCAACGTTGCCGTCTGCCCCAGGACTTTTTAGCCTCAGCTCTATGGAGCTTTTGACACCAGATAAGTCTTTGTTGTGAGGAATTGTTCTGTATGTTGTTAGATGTTTAGCAACATCCCTGGCGTCTATCTACAAGATGCCCCTATCACCACCACCCCAGTTGAGAACATTGAAATGGCCTCCAGATATGGCCAAATGTCCCTGGAAGGGCAGAGACAAACTGCCCCAGATTGAAAACCACTGGTCTGTGTAAACAGCTCTCCGTGGAGTTGTGCAAGCAGTGGCTTCCTACCTGGAGCTAGTTGAGAGGGTTTCGGTCTCTTCTGCACTGTGCCTTCCTAGTCAAGCCATTTTGCTGCCCTGAGTAAGAAAAGAAGAGGTTGTACTAAATTATTCTTTAGTCTCTTCCTGTCATAACACTAATTCTGATCTCACAAGAAGAAGGACATGGTGATCTTAGAATGCCTTGAAGAGCATTGGTGGTCCAGATACAGCTTTCTTCAGACTAGATTGTTCTGGGTCAGAACAGTTTCCCCATATGATTTGATAATAAAAGATCAGATAACACTTTGAAGAGTGAAATGGAAACACTGCCTGATAGGACAGAGAACTTTCTCAATTCCACTTACCTTCTAAGCAAGACTCTTTTATCTTTGTTCCTAATTCACTTACCTCCTGGCTCTGATAAGAGATGTCACATCTCTAATTTAACAGTCTTTTTAATATTAACTTCTCAAATGGAATTGTTCCCAACATATATTGATTTATATGAGCACACAATGAGCTAAGTCTGTTACTCTTTCCTAAGAAAGATGCAAATTTACCTCATAACTTAAATTTCCTTGAAAACCATCATTTGAACCAAAGGAATCAGAAGAATTTCTCATTGTTACATCAGAAAAGAAACTGTCTTAATATTAGGCTTGTATTGATAATTATTTTCCCAAAGTTTTAGTGTGGGAAAATGGACTTTGCAAGTGCACGTAGTTACCAAAAGAAAGTTATGCCTTGACTTCACAGTTTTAGCAGAACTTTAGCAGAAAAATCTACTGAGGTATGTGCTGCTACACTAGAAATTACTAAAAATATTTGAAGCATATTTAGTCTAAGGTAAGTGATTTTGATACAGAAAAAATTGTCTACTATATGATTTTGAATGATTTATTTTTTACAGTGTGTGTGTGTTTTTTTTTCTACAATTAAGTGGTACAACCTCCAACCATCACCCAACAGTCTCCAAAAGATTACATTATTGACCCTCGGGAGAATATTGTAATCCAGTGTGAGGCCAAAGGGAAACCGCCCCCGAGGTAAGTGTGCATTCTGCTTTGTTATAGTACTGGGAATAAATCAGGAAATTTCTCTGAATAGAGAAATAAGTTTGGGAACTTCCATCAAACAAGGCAGGCTATGTAGAGCCCTTCCTTTTTCAGTGGGCTGTTTCTCGCCGTGACTCACTACATTGGTCTTTGGTTCATCTACCCCAGCCCATTTCAGCCCTTCAGAGATACTGAAGGGTTGCATATCCCTAAAGTCTTACCTGTAGGTTTATTGTCTCTCTGCCTTATTAGAGCTCAATTTTTTTTTCTTTAAACACCCAGATTATTGCATTTCCATGCCCATACATTTCTGTAAAATGCTCGTAAATTGTGGGGAGTTATGGAAAGAGCCTTCTGATTCTGGTTTTGATACTAATGGCCGTAAGGCACAGGCAAATCCCTTTTCTCTGGGCTTTAATTTCCTCATCTATAAAGAGGTTGAATTTGACGATTTCCAAGATCTCTGCTGTCTCTATAACAGTTTATAAAATAGTCTTAAATGGTTTTCCAAACTTGGCAGAGTTCAGCCCTGAGGATTCATGCCATGTGGATCTTGCATAGCATTTTAGATCACTGCATAGCATTTTACAGTTGGGAGAGATGTTAGAGGTAACCCAGTCCAACCAATACATTGTGTAGGTGGGAAACTCATGTCTACTAATGCTAAGTAACTTATTCAAGGCACCGTCTGTAACTTTTCCAGTCACATATGTGAGTTTTGGAGAGTTAGATTATTATTAAAATGTAATATGGATTTTTAAGTAATAAAGAAGTGAAAGTTTCTGGTTATTTCCGAGTTTGTCTATTGCAGGCCTTGTTAAACTATCACAAACTGACCCCCAAGAAAAAATTAACTGATACTGAATATGTACTATGTCAAAACTTCCAGCAAAGGTTTGCCTCAAAATAATATATTCAGCTATATTATTGGAAAGTCCCTCTCACAGAAGGCCTGATGTGGTATCCTTTGATGGGGTTTCCTTTCAGTTTCACAGTTAACGCCTTCTGTAACTCACTATAAAGCAGGATTTCTCCTATTCGGCATTATTGATTTATGCAGTGGGATAATATTTTGTTTGAGGGGTGGAAATGTCCTGTGCATTGTAGGATATTTAGCAGCATCCCTGACCTTTGCCCACAAGGTACCAGTAGCATCCACACCACCACGTCCTGCCCTGATTGTGACAATGACTGCTATAAAGATAAGCAGTGAGAAGGGAAATCCAAGTGGGCCTGGAGCACACGGTGACTTTTAGAGATTCGTGCCTTTGTATGAGCGTGGCCATCATTGATTTGTGACTAGTCGTAAAATATTTAATTACATGAGCACTATGACTTTTATATAACTCGATCTTTTATAAAAAATAAAATGGAAAAAGAGGAATCTCAGTTGACAATTGGGCATACCTCCCAAGGAATTCACAAAATCATCTCTATAATTAAAACTTCTCAAAATGTGTTTTATGTAGAGTTACTATTTTTAATAAGCAACATTTAAAACACTCTGGAACTTATATCTCTTAGCCTCCTCCCGACCTACACTTCACAATTTAATAACTTGAAATTCGTCTGATGAATTTTCAACACATATAAATAGTACTTGTGGAGATCTTGTCACATTTCAGCCCTGAGCAAATTTTTATAGACAGGTTATCAACTCTGTGAACAATAGAGTTTGCAGTAAAAATGCTAATAAAGCTCTAAGAGAGTGTACCTGAGAGACCTGCTCCCTCTATTTTCTGAGAAAAATGACAGGCAATTTGTGTCCATGATTTCTTTATTGAGTCAGATTTGGGCTAGTTCTAACAAAGACAGGTACCTTAAAATGTATACCCTGCCCCTTGTTTCCAGGTCATGAGTCAATGAAACATTTTAGATGTGGGGACTTACTGCTCTTTTACTGAATATTAAAATCTAGTAATTATTTCTAGAAACCCATAAAACAACTAGGAATTCATTAAAATAATCCTGTTTTTTTTCTGGACCATTAATACACTTAACCCTTTGTGTGTTGGGCAGCTTTTCCTGGACCCGTAATGGAACTCATTTTGACATCGATAAAGACCCTTTGGTCACCATGAAGCCTGGCACAGGAACTCTCATAATTAATATCATGAGTGAAGGGAAAGCCGAGACCTATGAAGGAGTCTATCAGTGTACAGCAAGGAACGAACGCGGAGCTGCCATTTCCAATAACATTGTCGTCCGCCCATCCCGTAAGTGGAAACCATCACGACCCTTTTTAAAGTGTTGCTCCAAGCCTCAGCTTCTGTGACATCATCTAGATGCTATTCAAGAAAGCAGTGGCATTGCTTCCAATATTCTGACTTTGTTTTGCATGAAAATTATTGCTCCTTTCTACCTTACCCAACAAGCTTCTCAGCCTAATGCTTTACCAACCCAGTGTATCTTTTATACAAGTCCTGTGTAAGACATCAGTGTCTCTTCCCTCAGTTTATCTAATTACTTATTTCTTATGTATTCCCTATAAAAGTGTAATTCCTGCAGTCAAATGGAAATAAATTCAGTATGATATGGTGATCAAGGTCTAAATGCTATTTCTTTAAATATTTTTATTTCAAATTTTTACTGGAAATGGGGTGTCTTCACTACCTCAATATTATTATGGCTCTTTTTGCAATGGTTAGTACCAAAATCCTCTCAAAAACTTTAAGAGCATGTATTTAATCACATTTTCAGTTCTGCTCATTTCTTTTAAAAAACTGTATTACATGTGTAATACATGTTCATTGTAAAAAAACTGATTATAAATAAAAAAGAAATTTAAAAACCTGTTCATGAAAATCCTTCCATTCAAGAAAATAACTACTGCTCAAATATTCTTTCCATTTTTTCCTAGGCAGACATGTATGTATGTATTTAAAACCAGCTCATTTTCTGAAATACTATCTTACAACTTTTTCTGGCTTATTGGTGTATCGTGTATATTGCCATAGCCATCTTATAAATAAGTATATTGATATGATACTCTGTGGTAGTCAAAGGAGCAGATGCGTAGTTCTTTATTTAACACATCTTTTGACATTTAAGTGTTTTCCATTCTTTTGTGAAGAACATGCTTGTGTCAAAACTGCTTGTCTTCCTGACAGTGTATTTAGTACAAATTCTCAACTGTGAATCACTGACTGAGAATGTATACTATCAGTGGCAATGCATGAGAATTGTCATTTTTGAGGCTGGGCGTGGTGGCTCACGCCTATAATCCCAGCACTTTGGGAGGCTGAGGCGGGTGGATTGCGAGGTCAAGAGATCAAGACCATCCTGGTCAACAAGGTGAAACCCCGTCTCTACTAAAAATACAGAAATTAGCTGGGCATGGTGGCACGCGCCTGTAGTCCCAGCTACTCGGGAGGCTGAGGCAGGAGAATTGCTTGAACCCAGGAGGCGGAGGTTGCAGTGAGCCGAGATCGCGCCATTGCACTCCAGCCTGGGTAACAAGAGCGAAACTCCGTCTCAAAAAAAAGAAAGAAAGAAAGAGAATTGTCATTATTAAAATTTTTACTTTTAACATTGTTTTTAAATTTATTTTCTTATTAATTTAGTATACATAAATTACAAATTGTTTCTCCAAAAGTTCAGTTTGCCTTTATCTGTAGTGCTTTCTTTTTGTACTTTTCAATGCAGAAATAACTGAGAAGTTTTTTTTTATATATATTTAATAGGATCACCATTGTGGACCAAAGAAAAACTTGAACCAATCACACTTCAAAATGGTCAATCTTTAGTACTTCCCTGCAGACCCCCAATTGGATTACCACCACCTATAATATTTTGGATGGATAATTGTAAGTTTTGATAATATGAACTTTCTTTCTTTAAGTCTTAGGATTGTTTACTATCATAATACATTATTACCTTTTATGATTTGTAAAATGTTTTAGAGATGCTCAGGAAAATAGCTGCTCTTCAAAATAAATAACATGTCATCTCATTCACTCAACTTTATTGAACATTTACTATGTGCCTTGCTTATATTCCTTGCAGTGGGAGTGGAGGGGAGTGGGGAAGGAGGCAGACAATAAATGCACTAAGTACATTTAGAAAATCAGTGTTCATTGGCAATAAGTTACATAAAAACAATAAAGCAGAGTTTTGAGCAGAGACCTAAGGAGATGAGAGAGAACAAGCCATGCCCCTAAATATATGAGTAGAAGGGGAACATTGGTGCTAGCCCCTAAGGAAGGAGCATTCCTGGTGTGCGTAAAAATAAAAGCAAGGAGGCCAAAATGGCCAGACAGGAGGACTGAGAGTGAGGGTTGATGGACAAGGTGAAAAAGATCACAGGGACTCAATGGGAAGGGCTTTAGCTTTAGCTTGGAATGAAGCAGGGAAATGTTGAAGGAATGACTTTATCTGAAATAAAATAAGTAGTAACAGTATCTCTTCAGTTGATGTGTAGAGAACATAGTGGACAAAAGAGAGAGTAGAGATTGTTGGGGCCGCTGCTATAATCTACCTAAAATTTGTTGGTGACTTGGACTTGAGTGGTAGCAGTAGAATGGGTAAGAAATGCTAAGATTCTGGATATATTTTGAGGGTCAGGCCTCCAGGATTTACTGCGGCAAAGGTGGAAGCATGAGACGAAGGAATCGAGATAATGACCTTTGGAGATTGAACAACTCCAAAATGATAAAATGGAATTGCCATTTCCAGAGACCCATTGCGGGAAGGAAATCAAGCTGTTGGGGATGTGTTATACTTCTGTTTGGGGTGTGTGTGTGTCTGTATGTGTGTGTGTGTCTGTGTCTGTGTGTGTGTGTCCGTTTTAACATATGTTTTTTGTTTTTTTTTCAAATGTATTTTATTGCACTTTCGGTTCTAGGGTACATGTGCAGAACATGCAGGATTGTTGCATAGGTACATACATGGCAATGTGGTTTCCTGCCTCCTTCCCTGTCACTCATATCTAGCATATCTCCCCATGTTATTCCTCCCCAACTCCCTACCCCACACTGTCCCTCCCCTAGTCCCTTCCAACAGACCCCAGTGTGTGATGCTCCCCTCCCTGTGTCCATGTGTTCTCATTGTTCAACACCTGCCTGTGAGTGAGAACATGCAGTGTTTGATTTTCTGTTTTTGTGTCAGTTTGCTGAGAATGATGATTTCCAGATTCATCCATGTCCCTACAAAGGACACAAACTCATCATTTTTTATGGCTGCATAGTATTCCATGGTGTATATGTGCCATGTTTTCCTTATCCAGTCTATCATCAATCGGCATTTGGGTTGGTTCCAGGTCTTTGCTATTGTAAACAGTGCTGCAATGAACATACGTGTGCATGTGTCTTTATAATAGAACGATTTATAATCCTATGGATATATACTCAGTAATGGGATTCCTGAGTCAAATGGAATTTCTATTTCTAAGTCCTTGAGGAATTGCCACACTGTCTTCCACAATGGTTGAACTAATTTACACTCCCACCAACAGTATAAAAGTGTTCCTACTTCTCCACATCCTCTCCAGCATCTGTTGTCTCCAGATTTTTTTTAATTTTCTATTTTAACTGGCATGAGATGGTATCTCAATGTGGTTTTGGTTTGCATTTCACTAATGACCAGTGATGATGATAATTTTTTCATATGTTTGTTGGACTCATATATAACTTCTTTTGAAAAGTGTCTGTTCATGTCCTTCACCCACTTTTCAATGGTTTTTTTTTTTTTTCTTATAAATCTGTTTTAGTTCTTTATAGATTCTGGATATTAGCCCTTTGTCAGTTGGGTAGATTGCAAATATTTTTTCCCATTCTGTTGGTTGCCAGTTCACTCTAATAATGATTGTTTCTTTTCCTGAGCAGAAGCTCTGGAGTTTAATTAGATCCCATTTGGCTATTTTGGCTTTTGTTGCCAATGCTTTTGGTGTTTTAGTCATGAAGTCCTTGCCTATGCCTATATCCTGAATGGTTTTGCCTAGGTTTTCTTCTAGGGTTTTTATGGTGTTAGGTCTTATGTTTAAATCTTTAATCTGTCTGGAGTTAATTTTAGTGTAAGGTGTCAGGAAGGGGTCCAGTTTCTGCTTTCTGCACATGGCTAGCCACTTTTCCCAACACTATTTATTAAACAGGAAATCCTTTCCCCATTGCTTGTTTTTGTGAGGTTTGTCAAAGATCAGATGGTTGTAGATGTGTGGCATTGCTTCTGAGGCCTCTGTTCCATTCCATTGCTCTGTATCTCAGTTTTGGTACCCGTACCATGCTGTTTTGATTACTGTAGCCTTGTAGTGTAGTTTGAAGTCAGGTAGCATGATGCCTCCAGCTTTGTTCTTTTTGCTTAGGATTATGTTGGCTATGAGGGCTCTCTTTTGATTCCATATGAAGTTTAAGGTGGTTTTTTTCCAGTTCTGCAAAGAGGGTCATAGGTAGCATGATGGGAATAGTGTTGAATCTATAAACTATTTTGGGCAGTATGGCCATTTTCACAATATTGATTCTTCCTAACTATGAGCATGGAATGTTTTTCCATCTGTTTATGCTCTCTCTTATTTCCTTGTACAGTGGTTTGTAGTTCCCCTTGAAGAGGTCATTTACATCCTTTGTTAGTTGTATTCCTAGGTATTTTATTCTCTTTGTAGCAATTGTGAATGGCAGTTCATTCTTGATTTGGCTCTCTTTAAGTCTGTTGTTGCTGTATAGAAATGCTTGTGATTTCTGCACATTCAGGAGATTTTGGCTACTCTCCAAGCATATGGAGAGAAAAAAAAAAAAAGCAGGAGCACTCAGGTACAAATTGTCTTTTTCTTACCTGATTGCTCTGGCTAGAACTTCCAATACTATATTGAATAGGAATGGTGAGAGAGGGCATCCTTGACTAGTGCCAGATTTCAAAGGGAGTGCTTCCAGTTTTTGCCCATTCAGTATGACATTGGCTGTGTCTTTGTCATAAATAGCCTTTATTATTTTGAGATACCTTCCATCAATACCTAGTTTATTGAGAGTTTTTAGCATAAAGGGCTGTTGAATTTTGTCAAAGGCCTTCTCTGCATCTATTGTGATAATCATGTGGTTTTTGTCTCTGGTTCTGTTCACATGCTGAATTAACATTTATAGACTTGCATATGTTGAACCAGCTTTGCAACCCCAGGATGAAGCCTACTTGATTGTGATGGATAAGCTTTTTGATGTGTGCTCTTGCAATCAGATTATCAGGATTTTATTGAAGATTTTTGCATTTGTGTTCATCATGGATATTGGCCTGAAGTTTTCTTTTCTTGTTGAGTCTCTGCCAGGATTTGGTATCAGGATGATTTTGGTCTCATAAAATGATTCCCTCTTTTTTGATTGTTTGGAATCATATCAGAAGGAGTGGTTCCAGCTCCTCTTTGTGTGTCTGGTAGAATTTGGCTATGAACCCATCTGGACCTGGGCTTTTTTTGGTTGGTAGGCTATTAAATGCTGCCTCAACTTCAGCCCTTGTTATTGGTCTATTTCGGGTTTTGACTTCTTCTTGGTTTAGGCTTGGGAGGGTGCAAGTGTCCATGAATTTATACATTTCTTCCAGGTTTACTGGTTTATGTGCATAGAGTTGTTTGTAGTAATCTCTGATGGTAGTTTGTATTTCTGTGGAATTGGTGGTGATATCCCCTTTATCATTTTTTATTGCATCTATTTGAATCTTCTCTCTTTTCTTTTTTATTAATCTGGCTAGCAGTCTGTCTATTTTGTTTATCTTTTCAGAAAACTAGCTCCTGGATTTATTGATTTTTTTGAAGCGTTTTTTTGTTTCGCAATCTCCGTCAGTTCTGTTCTGATCTTAGTTATTTCTTGTCTTCTGCTAGCTTTTGAGTTTGTTTTGCTCTTGCTCCACTAGCTCTTTCCATTTTGATAATAGGGTGTTGATTTTAGATCTTTCCTTACTTCTCATGTGGGCATTTATTGCTGTAAATTTTCCCCTAGACACTGCTTTAAATGTATCCCAGAGATTCTGGTATGTTGTATCTTTGTTCTCATTGGTTTCGAAGAACATCTTTATTTCTGCCTTCAATTCATTGTTTATTCAGTCAATATTCAAGAGCCAGTTGTTCAGCTTCCATGAAGTTATGTGGTTGAGTTAGTTTCTTAAACTTGAGTTCTAATTTGATTGCACTGTGGTCTGAGAGACCAGTCATTATGATTTCCATTTTTTTTTTTTTTGCATTTGCTGTGGAATGATTTACTTCTAATTATGTGGTCAATTTTAGAGTAGGTGCAATGCAGTGCTGAGAAGAATGCATATTCTGTGGATTTCGGGTGGAGAGTTCTGTAGATGTCTATGAGGTTTGCTTGGTCCAGATCTGAGTTCTGTCTCATTGATCTGTCTAATAGTGACAGTCAAGTGTTAAAGTCTCCCACTATTATTGTGTGGGAGTCTAAGTCTCTTTGTAGGTCATTAAGAACTTACTTTATGTACCTTGGTGCTCCTGTATTGGGTGTGTATATATTTACGATTGTTAGCTCTTCTTATTGCATTGATCCTTTTACCATTATGTAATGCCTTTCTTTGCCTCTTTCGGTCTTTTTGGTTTAAAGTCTATTTTATCAGAGACTAGGACTGCACTTCTGCTTTTTTTCTCTCTCTCTTTCTCTCTCCATATGCTTGGTAAATCGTCCTCCATCCCTTTATTTTGAGCCTATGTGTGTCCTTGCATGTGAGATGGGTTTCCTGGATACAGCACACTGATGGGTTTTGACTTTTTATCCAGTTTGCCAGTGTGTCTTTTGATTGGGGCATTTAGCCCATTTACATTTAAGGTTAATATTGTTACGTGTGAATTTGATCCTCCCATTTTGATGCTAGCTGGTTGTTT